TTCTTTCGTCACCTCCACCTCGCCCTGCCGTGGCCGAGGAGAGAGCGGCGGCTCTTCCCTGGCCGTGCCCTCCCCACAGGCCGAGCAGGCAAGGGTGGGGATGACAAAGCCACCGGGCGAGGCAGGGCCGAGCCCCAGCACCGGGCAGGAGAAGCTGTGGTGGGTACGTACCTCCTTATTGGCGAAGCAGTAGAGCACGGCCACCAGAAAGCCCTGGAGGGAGAGCAGGGGAGTGAGCCCCCGCTGCCACCCCCTCTCCCAGGGCTGGGATGGATTCGGTCTCCCCAGGCCTCTTCTGGGTGCTTTTCGGGCTGCGGTCCCCCTGCCACCACTCTCCGAGAGCACAGGGGGCACCACCATGCACTCAACAAGGCCAGGAGAGCCAGCATCCCCCTCCCCAAGCCCAGCCATGGGCTGAGGCACCATGGGGAGAGTGAACTGGAAGAGGGACCCCCCGCTAATTCTTGCTCCATGGTGTGCCTAGAGTAGAGCAAGGATGTGCCCCGATCCCACCTCACCTGGAAGGAGTTGAGGAAGAGGGTGAAGAACACCTTGACGTAGCGCAGGACGCCCGTGGTTTGCTCGTCGGTGGCGAAGATGAAGACGACCTCGTGGATCCCGAAGAGGGGGATGAGGGTGAGCGTGGCTTTGGCCAGCCTGAAAGAGCAGAAGGAGACCCCTCCAGCAGCGAGTACTAAAGGGCTGGGGCACAGGATGGGCTCTTAGTGAGTCTCAGGGTGGTTGTTGAATGATGTGTAGGATGGAGGAGCGAGGTGGAGGTGGTGTAGCCCCAGGACCAGGGAGGACCCATGACTGGCTGCCCCTTCCCTCCCTCCCGGCTCACCGCAGCTTGTAGTCTGCGTAGCCCTTCTGGTTAGCACGGAGCTTGGCCAGGATCACCTTGAGGATCCGCATGAAGATCAGCAGGTTGATCTGGGGGGGGAGGAGACAGTGCAGGGGCACACATAGACCAGCACCCCCCACCCCTCGCAGCCCACCCCGACCATCATAACGCGCCCTCGGGGCCCGCAGGAGATGACGCCCCCCTGTACTGCAAAAGCTGTTATAGCCCAACGGTGCTGGGTCCCCAGAGCTCTCCTTCCTCCCCTCCTGCCATCCCAAAATCCCTGCTAGGAAGCAGCAGGGCCACTCCTAGCCCTCTTCTCTGGGGCTTAGCACAGACCCCCAGAGCCTGGGGGTCAGCAAGCTGGTGCAAAAAAACCCGAAGCAACCCATGTGCATTCAGCACGACGATGCCTTGGAGGCCAACACCTCCCTCCTGGGCTCTGCTGGGAGCTGCCCTGGGGGTCACTGCCCCCCACCCTGGGGCTGGGAGCCAGGGGCTGAGCTGCTGTTCTCCAAAAAGGTGTGGGGCTGGCCGGTGCCCCCCTACCAGGGAGGCGAGCAGGATGGGGATGCGGATGATCCACCAGTAAGCCATATTCTCATTCAGCGCCCAGCACCTGTCCAGGGAGACACGGAGAGCAGCACCATCATGCCGTGCCAGGGGGGGCAGGATGAGGCTGAGAGTGTGCCAGGCCCAGTGAGGTGGGTCAGGGACCCACAGCGGTCTCCATCCCACTTCCTAGCCAAGCCCGAACCCCGGCCTGGGGCTGAGCATCCCAGCGGGACCCCCCCAATCCTCCCCACTCACTCCACGTTCTCCTTCAGGTACTTGGCAGCCATCCAGGGCACCACGAACACCACGGGGGTCCCTGCAAGTCACACAGCAAACCCTGTAAAACCAAGCACCCTCCTGAGCTGAGAAACCGGCCCCGGGGCGGGGGACACCATGGGGACACTAAGGGACAGTAGAGCCTCCACCCTGCTCCCTCCTGGGGCCGGTTTAGGCCACAGCGCTCACCAACACCACATACTGTCCCTAGCCCCACCGTGCACCCAGGTGGCCCCTACCCCAGCCCAGGTAGAGGTAGAGCCTGTAGTAATTCTTCTCAGAGAAGACGGCCCCGATCAGCAGCTTGTAGAGGTAGACGGCTTCCACCAGGAACCAGTAGTGGTTGGCCAGGATGCAGTACTGCATCAGCACCTGCGCCGCCCGGCAGCCCAGCGCCGCCTGCGAGAGGAGACCTGCCGTGGGGCTGGCTGCACGCCCACGGGGGCACAGGCACCCCGAGAGCTCCCCCAGAGGGTGCATGTGCACCCCAAGAGCTTGTCCGTCAGGTGTATGGTGCTGCACAGAGTTTGCCCAGAGGGTGCACAGGCAGCACAGGCACCCCAAGACTGCATCCATCAGGTGCACGGTGCTGCACAGGCACCCCAAGAACTTGCCCACCGGATGCACGGGTACCCCAAGAGCTCACCCACCAGGTGCATGGGCACCCAAAGAGCTTGCCTACTGGGTGCTTGGGGCTGCATGGGCACCTGCACCTGGTGGCACACCCCTCCCCAGGGTGAGGGTCCCCACCCCAACTCCATCCCAGCATGGAACAGGGCCCCCCCATGGGGCAGCACTTGCCTCGTGGCTCAGCAAAGCCTCCCAGTCGGCCATCTGCACCACCTCCATGCCCCAGCGCTTCTCCAGCAGCGCGTCCTTCACCATCACCGAGGTCGCCCGCAGCCCGAAGGAGGCAAAGAGGTTGGCGTGGATGTAGTTCCTGGTGCAGCGGAGCTTCCTGCCGAGAGCAAAGGCATCAGGGGGCTGGGTGGGTGGTAGGGGCACCCCTTCGCTCGGCCATCGCCGTCTGGGAAGGACGAGGGGCAGGACTGTGTCCCCCACCGGCTCTCCTACCTGAAGATGGTGAGGACAAGCAGGGCAGAGACAAGGGTCAGGAGCGACAGCGAGTAGCCCACGGTGTAGAGCACCTTGAAGCTCACCATCAGCTGGTGGGCACCCTCCTGCAGGCGAGCACCGCGCCGGTGAGC